ATTATAGTCACTGAAGAGTGGCAGTCAAAGCTTGTTGTAGATAGAAGTTATTTCAAAAGTTGTTAAAAGAGAGCCCGGCCATTGTTTTTTCTGAAATCAGGAACAAATTCACCCTCAGGGCTGTGTGTGTGTGTGTGTCTGTCATTCAGTGTTTGCTTGTTCTTTTTATATTACTGGTATGCTCTTGGGGACTTTCTACTGTGTATTGTAGAGAAAGCTGGTTCACTGTATTCACAACATGGATTTTTTTCATAATTTGATAAGTAATATCTTGGTGTTTTGCAGTATGATTGTTTCATAGTTCAGGGTTGCTTAGTCCTGCTTGGTTGTTCGGGAGACATGGGTGCTCTTTGGGTAGTAAATGGGAAGACGCAAGCAAATTAAACATTAAATATTTTTAATTTTAATTATAAACATAAATAAATATCGAGGGAGGTGATTCTGCCCCTGTACTCTGCTCTGGTGAGACCCCACCTGGAGTGCTGCGTCCAGCTGTGGAGCCCTCAATATCAGAAGGATATTGACCACTTGGAGCGAATCCAGAGGAGGCCACGAAGATGATCAGAGGGCTGGAGCACCTCTCCTATGCGGACAGGCTGGGAGGGTTGGGCTTGTTCAGCCTGGAGAAGGGAAGGCTCCAGGGAGACCTTATAGCACCTTCCAGTGCCTGAAAGGGCTACCAGGAAGCTTGGGGGGACTTTTTACAAGGGCCTGTAGTGACAGGACAAGGGGTAACGGGTTTAAATTGAAAGTGGGGAGGGTTAGATTGGATATCAGGAAGAAGTTCTTCCCAGAGAGGGTGGTGAGGCACTGGCACAGGTTGCCCAGAGAAGCTGTGGATGCCCCATCCCTGGAAGTGTTCAAGGCCAGGCTGGATGAGGCTTTGAGCAACCTGGTCTAGTGGAAGGTGTCCCTGCCCATGGCAGGGGGTTGGAACTAGATGGTCTTTAAGGTCCCTTCCAACCCAAACCATTCTATGATTCTATGATATTAATATACAGCAAACTTATGCTTCAGCTTGGTAGATAGATACATAATGGTATAGCAGTATTGCCCAGAAATAAAGGTCTTAGCTGTGTTAGTGCAATTATAAGCTGGGAAAACGAGCTGAAGATTTTGTGTGGATAGCATTGATACCGTTTTGCATGCGACTTTGGGATAGAACTGTGGGTATAGAACATGACACTGATGGATAGCACTAGATCTGCCTACGTAGATTAGCTTTTCGGAAGACTCATGCCCGAGATACGGGATGTTTGGCAGCCATTTGTAGCTGCTGTGCTGATATGCACAGTGATACATGTAGAAATAAATCCAGCCCTTTTGGTGATGTTAATAGTGTGTATAGGATTTCTGCAGGTCATGTTCTTTGCAGTCATGACATTTCACGTGCTGACATCCAGGTGTGTCTTTCAAAAAGGCTAATTTCAAAGCAAACATGATGGAGTGATTGTCCCATCAACAGAAGCTTCCAAAATAGTATTCCCTGAGGAGGTAAGAGGAGATTTTATGACAGATGGAGGAGCTATTTGTATGTACCATTTCTCATTTGTAGCCAGAGTCATCACAAAGATTTCTGTCTGGGAGAACTGGAGGCAGAGTTAATTCCTATTTCTTGCCCTATATATTTGTGCAAGAAGGTACCGTGTTCTCCCAGTGGAGAGAAGGAAGTGAAAAGCCCAGGGTCACTGCGGGGTCCTAGCTCTCCAAGAACATGTTTTAGATGGGTTAAATCTGGCAAAAGCTGGCTGGAGACTAGATGGCTGTTAAATTGGAATGATTTTTTAGGATTAAGGTGCTAATCATATGGTTTTCCTGAGGCACATGGGAATGAATAAAACCCTTATTTTGTTGAGGGTAGAATGTGTGGGGAGGGAGGTATTTTTCTTTATTTGGAATCACTTTGGTGGGAGTGAAGGAATTACAGCCAAATCTGACCTATTAGTTGCAGACTCCACAAATTAATGTCACTGGGCAGGTGGAGGCAGTGGAGGATTTGTGGCTTACTGTGCTGGCTCTATTTTTAGTTTCTGACTGCTTGCAAGTTCCGTTTACAAATGTCAGGAAAATGCATTAGGATTATCTGTTTTATTGTAGAGGTAATAAAATGCTGTCCAATTTAGCCAATAGAACAGCTAAAAGCAGGCTCCCACTGCCATGGCAGTGTAGCGGCTGAATGTATACAGTGGCTCCATGGCATTTTCATGCTACTTGCTCTGTTCTTTCCTCATTGCTTGTTTCCTACCATTGTATTGATTCAAAGCCCAGAGATTAGGAATCTCTGGGTTTTGTACATCAGAGGCTCGCCTGGGAATAACTGAAAATGTGTATCAAGAAGGAAGGCGAGGGTTCAGGAAAAGCTCTATGATTCACTCCTGCAGTGCCATATATTGGTCCTGGAGCGTGGCAGTGATACCTGGGGCAAAAAGACCGTATTCCTTTACCCGAGTGTCTCAAGTTCTTGGATACTAAGAACTTCCGTAGAAGTCCTTTCAGCTTGAGTGCCTAGGGAGTCAGTCATTGTCTTTAGAGGATGCGGTCGGTCTGTGTTGCTTGATACCCTGTATGCCAACATCACAGGTGCATTCTCTGCCGTACAGCCTAGAACCACGGAGAGGCACTGCATTTCAGCTGGGGTGGTTTACTGGTGGGCCTTATGACGTGCTTAGAACTGAAGGTACTTCAACATTGTTATTTGGCTCTGAAAGAAAGACAAATGTGTTGTTATTACCATTAGAAAACCAGTATGCAAATAAATAATATAAAAATATATTTTTCCAATGCTTAAATGGTCATTACTACTATTATTACGGTCTTTTACCACTACAAGTTAGTATTGTAGGGTAGCAGTCATATTCACTAGCTAGCAAAAAGCTTTAAGCAGACTTGTGACATTGTTAGTTAATACTTGGTTTTAATTACCGTTTAAGATAGCTCAGGCCAAACAGACTGTGTGTTAGTGCTGTGGATATACCCTGTGATAGAGTACATAAAAATAAAGACAGTTCACAGGCTGAAGACGTTATTCTTTAAATACACTAAATATGTCCCCTGAAGCATTCTTAAGGTGTGGCTATCTGTATGCATTTCATCACTCCTAGAAATTATATATTATTTTTTTAAGGGAACCAGAGAGTTAATTTGTTTTAAGTCTGGATTCAAATGGGGGTAAAGCTGACAACTTAGTAAAAACCGAGGTGCTAATTCCACTACAGAGACAGGCTAGAAATAGAAGCAGGAGTAAAAGTGTGGCTTTGAACTGCATCATATGAAAGCAGTAATGACAGGAACATTGCAAGCTTGTGTGTACCTGTGAATGCCAGGTTTTGGGTTTTTTTTTGGATGCAACTTCTGCAGTTTTTGAAGCTGTAAGCCTCTGAGGAGGCTTACAATGAAAATTTGATAAGTAATACATTATTGTGCAGTGAAGTGTTCAAATTTGCAGCTGAATCACTGCAATCTACTGTCAGCTTGTCGAGTGTAGCTCTTGCCTGGCAAGTCTGACCAACAAACGTATCTTGTTATTTCACCTAGGAGATGAAGTGAGGGAAATCATGATTTGCAATGGGAGGGAGATGTAAATCCATACTAACTCTTTCTGTACTCTTCAACTTTGAGCAAATCAGAATCTGGAAATCAACTTAATGACTTTTCTTTGTGTTTTGGCCAACTGTAATGCTAAAGTCCAAATATTCATGATATCTGGCATGCTCATGGCCACAGCTAGGTCTTAGATCAGTAAGAAAACGGTTATTTTTTCCAAGTTCTTAATTTCTGTTTTTCTAGATAAATACCATAAAACTGCAGCTTGCTGTTACTGAAAAGAACAGTCAAACCATAGTGGCTGTGTCCTGCCAAGCTGTTCTAATAAATACTGAAAATCGGATATTGTGTTTGTCAGCCAAAGATTGACAGAGTTGTTGATGAGTCTGAGTTTTTTTTCCGGTATGGATATTTATATTTTTCCAATAATGTGTTTTTCTTAGTAAGTTAGCTGGTATCTGTTCATAAAAGAATAGTAAAATTAATTCTTTTAGGCTTTATTCCCAGCCCTCTTACTATTGGAACTAGAGTGCTGTGCATGTTATTCAGGGAGCATAGTTAGTCTCGTCGTCATTCAAGAATCTACAAAACAGCAAGAAGGCTGGAGCTGCTCAGTGCTTGAGAGCTTGACATGGCTGTAGTGTTGCTGTTAGCCTGTGAGAGTTGCAGTTTGATGAAGTTCCAGCTCCAAGGGATGGCCTCTTCCCACGGCCTCTTCTGCCTGCTTCTGCTCCGGTATTCTTCTGGGTGTTGAAAGGTATTTTTCCTTGCACAGTACCTCCTAGAAATTGGGAAATATAAGATGATAAAATTAGGATGTGTGGAGCAGAACTATAAAAATGATAGTTTTTTCTAGATGTTAGGCCATTTTAAAAGCCTTGTATTTTAGAGGCAGTACACAGTCAAAATCAGAGCTGTTCAAAAGTTTTACTGCTAATGCTTTTTCCATTGGAAATCACTGTTGTGATGGAATTCGAAGCATTTTATGGGACTGTATGAATTACGCTTAGGCACTTGAGCAAAAAGATGGCAGTCACGAAGTCTGGATGGGCCTGCATAGTTTTGTGTCAGCCAGTTCAGGTGGAGTTTTGTGCCTAGGTGGAGCAAGGAGCAATTTGAAACACGAAAAGTTTTCTGAGAGTTTGAAATCGTAGTTTCAACATATTTTTACTCAAAATGGCATCTGAAATGCAGCATGTTTCGTAATCAGACTGTTTCTGAATGCGGCGCTAAGGTCTGCCCCATTATGGTTTTGGAAGCATCTCCTCAGTGACCTAACCATTGCCTGCAGCACAGCCCTTCCTGGTAGACCTTTTTTAAGTGTTAGGGCATTCTAGTGGGAACTGGGTGAAACTAAGCCTGTGTGTTGAAACTAGTCTTGTAGCTCTCGGACAAGAGAAGAATAAAGGATACACAGAGATTTAAAGTGATCCTAAATAATATTTGCTTTCTTTTAGCTGTCTCCGTAATGAGATACAGTGCATCATCGTTTGGATTTGCTGTAAGTAGAGATACAATTTATATATTCTCTACCATTTTTTTCATGAACCTTTTCTGAGTATTAAATGCTGTATTTGTTCTGATTGTACATGGCAAGGTTTGTGAAGTCGATGAGGGATTTGGAAAAAGTGTTGTTGAAGCCATACCCTGGAAAGGAGAGTAAAGATATTTCTATTATACTTTTTCAGTTTCTGACTACTGAGTCTTACACTGGTGTTAATATCAATACATATATCTGTTATCTCATAATTGGTAGATATTACCCACCAGATATGGTTTTCTTCTATAAAATCTTCTGGCTAATCAGTTCTGTTGTTGAACTTGAGCCAAGTTCTGAAGTTCCCTTCTGAACTTTGTTGTCACCCTTTTCCTATTGAAGTCTCTGGTAAAACTCCTATTGACTTTGGATGGCAGCTTCCCCTCTAGTAGTTGCTATGACTTCTCTGACTAGTAGAAGAGCAAAAAACTCCTAATGACAAGAAAAATTACTAATTGCAAACAATTTGGCTCTTACTTTCAAATTCGAAGGTTAGATTGACTCTGTTAGATTGACATGAGGATGAAAGGTCTTGCAGTGGGACAAGCCCTGGATTTCGGTGACCTGACATGTCTTCATTTAGTGGCAATGCAAACATGACCGATTGGCTGATGATACAGAATAATATGAAATCTGGATAGAATGGGATTTTGAGAAAAGTTAATATTTCCTTGCTTTGAAAAAAACCTTCAATGGCAGAAAATGAGTGAATTTGCAGGAAAAAGGGTTACTTGGCAGACATTTTCAAATTTTTTGGCTTTTTTTTTTTTTAGAGTCTTTGCACAAGAATCATGTTAGTATTAACTCTTGTGGTTCCCCAGTCGCTGATTGTGTGTTAGGTTTGGTTTTGTTTTCTTTCTTAAACTTGTCCACTGGTGATGGGTTACAAATAAAAAGTTTTCATTCTTTGACTGACTGAGCTCTGAATTGTGTCACTGTGCAATAATACATGGGAAAAATGTGAAGATCAATGTAATAAACGTAAATCCGGCTTTCATAAAATCATTTCTTTGAAGCTGCTTTATGCCAGTGCAGCGGGATAGTAAATGGATTACTGTTAGTACAGGGCACATTTAATGGCCCATGAAACAATTGACTCTGTGTCTCTTTCAGTTTGATGCTACCCTGGATGTTTTGTCATCAGCGATAGTTTTGTGGCGTTACAGCAACGCAGCTGCTGTGCATTCTGCACACAGGGAGTACATGTAAGTACACTTAATTACTTTTGGCTTTGGTAGAGGCCTGCGGAGCTTTTGCTCTCAAGCTGTGATGCTACAGATTCCAGAGCTTTGACATAAAACATTTTGTCATGTCAGCAAGTATTCTTTCCTTCTGCCAACTTACTGTTTGGTCCCAAAACATTTAGCCTTTCCTTAGGCATATCTCCCCATGATTGTGATTTTTAGTTTCTTTTTAGCCAAGGTAGTATTTGTTAGGGCTTTGAGATTTTTTTTTTTTCCTTGCAGCACCTGTATCAAATGAACTGTATTTGCAATCTGTAATGGATTTGTAAATCTCTTATTTTGCATCTTACTCCGTTATTCTTATGATATTATTATTTTTAAAAAGATGCTTGTATTATGTTTCTGCTTCCCTTAACAAGAAGGCAAAGCGCACCCCTCCTCTTTGAATGTAAATCTGCTTGTTCTGAAACCTCTCTCATGAAGTCCTTTCTACAAGAAGGGAAACCTGATGAAACTGAGCTCTTACATAACTGGTTGGATCAAGTAAACAAAAACTCCAAAAGCCACACAGAGGGGACTATAACTTGTCTTCGTAGTCCTTTCCTACAAACTAAGAAAACACTAAGCAGTATTTTATATGCATTAACTCAGGCTCATGCAACAGCTTGCCAGTGCTGTGAGTTTCTTTCTGGCAGGACTCCATACATAACAGTTTGGAATAAAAGGCCATAGAAGATTGATGTGGCACTGATTCATAAAAATAAATCCAGAAAGATGTGATTAAAATTAGTCTTCCTGAACAAATTTGGAGATCTTAACAGACATTTCCTGAGTATCTGGCTTTTGTGGGCGTCCACAGAGATTCCTGTCAACATTCAATTAACATACTTTTGAAATCTCCTTCTGCTGAGCTTTTTCAAGTGAACCTGGTGAAGTACTTTATAGAGAAAATAAATCCCAATACAAAAGAAGAATCAACATTTCCCTATGGCTAAGCCAGCAAAGTGAACAAGCAAAGCAGCAAACATATTTTCCTGCTCTTTATGTTCATTTTCAATTTGCTTTCATATAATCCCTCTGCTTTACATAAGGCTAAATTAAGTCAATGAATTACTTGCTATGCCCTCTAGTTGAAGACAGCTAAGGTTGCATGATGAGATGAGTACTGAGTGAAAGGATGTTACCATATGCTGGGAATATGAATCACTGGGTAGGCAGTCTGGTTATCCCTCCATTTCTAGAATCGGCAGGAGAATCATCATAGTACCAGCAAGTGAAGAGATGGTTTTGTCTGTAAAGGCAATTCTTACTGTGTCAAATTTTTGAAGGAGGCACATTTCTAATTTCCTGTTGCGTTTAATCAATCTCTTGCTTGAAAGACTGCATGTAATTATTTTTCCTCTATGCTGGGAAAATGTTTCATGACTCCTCCTGGCTGCTTTCTTACCTTATAAATAACCTGTGCATCATATGTGCCTATAACTACACCGGTTATTTCACAGTCCTTGTGTTCTGTGTGCCAGCGCCTCCGTGGGGAAGCCTGCTCTCAGACTGCTGGACTGTTCGGAGCAAACTCATGCAGGTGCTTTGGTCATGCTGTGCATTATTCCTGTTTCTGCGTGCCTAGCCATGCCATGGTGCAGGAGCCTGTGCAAAACTCTGGGTTTCTACAAAAGCATTATTACTGTTTATTGAGTAAGGTGTGCCAGAGTGACTGCAGTTTCGTTCTTCATTTGTAGGTCTGCCTTTCATTGATTTAAATATTTGTGTATCCTAACATACATGGCTCCTTGACAAAAGCCAAGTGGAATTGTCAATTAGTTATGTAATGCAAATTTATAAAACTTCCTGTTTCCTAAACTTGACAGCAAGAGATTCATCCAGAATCTGTTGAAATCAGTGGAAAGCCTCTCATGGAAGGGGGAACGTTAGATCCAGTCCTCACGGTTGGGCGTTGTTGAGAGAGAAAAAACAGATTGAAAAACAAAAGTCCAGAAAAAGATACAGAGAATACAGCCTGATTCATGATGGACTATGAATTAAATACTTTGAATAAAATGCTAAGATGTAAAAGAATTGTGTAATCTTACTTAAGTTGTAGCCATATGGATGTTAGAGAAGTGACATTTCATGGGCTGGTACTCAGAATGAAGAGTACAAAACTGCTTGCTGTGCCAAGTTCTGCTAAGCTGAACCAATGCCTTTCCATTTGACTTCAGGGGAATTGCAGTGCTGAAACTATCGTGAAAATTTGTCCTGCTGAGTTTAACTCACTTTAATGGGTTTCATTTTTACTAGTTTGATTGATTTCTCCAATTTTCTGCAGCCAGATGAGAAGGTATTTCCTCAGTGTGCATGTGACCAAGGTTATACAGTGTACATCTTGGTTGATTCTTATGTTAAATAAGAATCACTGCAATATATTTTTTATATATTTATATCTATTTAACATAACTGCAAAATATATTTTAACTTACCTTTGCGATTTGCCCTTATTGAAAATTCTTTGGTTTTGATGGCCTGAGGAGCTGAAGCTGTCAGGCTTTTCAAGTCTTCTATTGACGAGAATTTTTCTTTGGGAAAAAATATAACTGGTTATGTTCAAGGTATGTCTTAAATCATGATAAAACCTTTATGCTTTATTTTTAAAAACACCAAGTGGCTTTGAAAATATCATGAATATTCACCAAGATCAGGTATAAACCACTGTAAGATGATAGGCCGTATGAGACACTGCCTGATTCTGCCTAGCTGGCTCATTAATGAAAGAGTCTGTAGGAGTGGGATGCATATTTGATGTGTTTGTTACCGGTACTTTTTGGATAGTTTTGCACTTCACTGTCTTTCTGTTTTGGCAGTCAAATAAAAGAGGGTAAAAACAGTCTACTACATTTTCATGGATTGAAGGTCTTGAGGAAATACAAAAATTGGGAAGGACTGCAGATACCTGGCAAGAGAGTCAGAGTGCATATTTTGAGTGCTTGATTTGCTCAGCATGATCTGCTGGGTTGCAAGTTAGAATGCAGGAAACTTAGAGGTGCTGAGCAAATCATCAACAAAGCAATGATCAAGAAATCCAAGAAAGAAAAGGGTGCTGACATAACTTCAGAAATAATTTTGAGTATCAACAAAAGATGAAAATTTACAACCAAAGTAAAATTCTTGCAATTCCCTATTTTTCTTCATAAGAGGAAGAAGAGGAAGGAATATACTGTGATGTAGATGATAAACCAGAGGCTGTAAAAATGTAGTAGAGTGCACTTTGGGCAGTGTTTCTGCAGTGCTGTGCCGTAGAATGGCTGGGCTTGGCAGACACCCCCAGAGGTCATCAGTCCAACCCCCTGCTCAAAGCAGGTTGTCCGGTGAAGGGTCTGAATCCAGTCTTCTGTTCTGTGATTTGAACCCTGAACGATCACTGAGCCATTCCAGATGGGCAAAGAAATCTGAATGGTCCCCCTTCCTGCTTTCCATAACCAGTGTACAAATGTTATTGAATATGTTGCCCTTCAGTAGATCTTTAGCAACATAATGTCTTCTTGGGCTGATGAAGCAAATCTAACTTCTGTTGAAGGAAGAAACTGATGTGGTAACAGTGGTTTTTCATAGAATCACAGAATGGTTTGGGTTGGAAGGGGCCTTAAAGATCACCCAGTTCCAACCCCCCTGCCATGGGCAGGGACACCTTCCACTAGACCAGGTTGCTCAAAGCCTCATCCAGCCTGGCCTTGGACACTTCCAGGGATGGGGCATCCACAGCTTCTCTGGGCAACCTGTGCCAGTGCCTCACCACCCTCTCTGGGAAGAACTTCTTCCTGATATCCAATCTAAACCGCCCCACTTTCAATTTAAACCCGTTACCCCTTGTCCTGTCACTACAGGCCCTTGTGAAAAGTCCCCCCCAGCTTCATGTGCATTCACAACATATTCATGTTATATGAATACGAAATGTGAAAAGTCGTCGTGTGTCCTCCCCCCACATTCATGTGCATACATAAACATAAAAAGGTATATAGCAGTAGAAGTAATTTCTTAATGGAAGACTGAAGCATTAGGGACATGGAAAAATGTCTCATGAGAGGTTGAACTAGTAACTAGCTCTACAGGCAAAGGGCAGCTCTTTGATCTGTTAATTTCAGGGATAAAGGACTTGGAGTGCTGGAACTTCGTGTGAGGAGGAGAAAGTGAGAAATACCCCTAAAAAAGGAAAGATCAAGAAAACAGGGTAACAAGCTTTAGGCACACAGCCTTGTGAAAAAGCTGTAAAAGATGGAGCTTTATATGTGTAGTTGGTTGGAAAAATCTCAAAACTATGAACAAAGGAAACATTCCTTGTTTGATTCCCTCTGCTCAGGAAAACAGGACCTTGCTCAGGGTAAGTTAATAGAGTAAGCTGGCAGCCAGCTCAGGTCAGATGGAGAAGTGCTACTTCTCAGGCTATAAAGTAATACCCCTATTGTTACATTACAGAGCTACAATCTCCTACTCCTGTACGATGCAGCACAGGGCTGAATAGCTGCTTATCCCCGTAGGACCCATTGCTCCTAGGGTTTTTTCAGCTAATGAGTTTTGTTTGAGCTTGTATGTTCGGTATTGCAAAAACTAACTCTGTGCAGCATATTTAACGTAGTGATTCTTGACAGTTGCAGCTGGTGTTTATTATATATTATATTGTTGATGGTAGGAAGTGAAATTCTGTGCTTCCCAAGAACCAGTGTGTCAACATCTTTCTTAACCTAGTGCCAGAGTAAATAGGAAACCGTACTCATAATGAGCATGCTGAATAAAGCCAAGAGCAGAAAGCTGACATGTCTTTCTTTTAGGTGTGTGTTTTTGGGGTTTTTAATTAGTTTATTTTTATTGCATATGTCAGACTCCAGCTATTCTTTCCTTTATTGCTGTAATAAGAAAATTAAATTGTGTCATGGGCAAATAATTCTAATAAACTCGTGGCACTCTATGTTGCTGTGACATAATGCATAATGAATTGTAGATACATCCTGGGATATTTTTCTTATATTGGT